TTGGTTGGTTCTGCTATTGACATTGTTAATTCTTCATCTAGTTATTTGTGTCTTTATTTTCCTTTGTTTGCCAGTGGCTTGTCAGTATTTTCGACCCTTTCAAAGAACCAGCTCCTGGTCTTGCTGATTGTTTCAGTTCCATTTATTTCTGCCTTATCTTTATTATTTCCTTTCTTCTAGAGGCTGTGGGGTTAGCTTGTTGTTCTTTTTCTATTTGTTGGAGTTCTTGGGTTAAGGAGTTGGATTTACTCTTTCTTCTCCCACTAGAAGTCTTCTAGAAATTTTACTTTTTAGGTGTATTTAGAAATAGAGAAATTTCTCCATATTTCTGAATGGATTAGCATAGAGTCCTCTAGACTGGCAGATGGACACACACACACACACACACACACACACACACACACACACACGCTCGCCTGCTCTCTCTTTTCTCCTCTAATATTTCAAGATGAGGAAAAACATGAGAGGAAAAAGTAAAGATGGGTGATGTTAACACAATGAAATCTTAGTCTAGTTAATATATGAAGAGTATTCCACTGAGAGCTATTAAGAGCCATGAACAGTAAGGTCAGCATCCATGAACACTGTAGCATTTCACTGAATCTTAGGTCTGGCCCAAGGATAGAATAAACAAGTGTTTATCTCAATTATGATCACAGTTACTTGGTTGCCAACAAACGAGTTTGGCAATAAGGGAACTATTTTTATCTGAAACATCTTGCTTATTTTAGTTCTGTCAGTCGCCTGCTAAAAGACATTTTGTTAGTTTTTAAATAGTGAACTTTCCACAGGTCATCTGCTCTGTAAAATATTTGGACAAGATTTTGCACATAGTAGGTATTAAAGGTTTACTGAAGAAAGAATTATTCTGCCCATGTAAATAAACCAGTTATCCACATACATGTGCATTCTCTTACATACCTGCAACAGCTCATCACGGGATATCTTGTCATCTTTATCCAAATCATAAAGTCGGAAAGCAACTAGAAGAACAAAAGAAATTTGGTAGTATTTTGTCCATTCACAGGAAAGTAATGGATTTTGTAAGAAAAACTGCAGAATTTTTAAGCCAATTTTAGTATTTATGAAATTGAGATGCATCTCATAATAGATGGTATTTCCAATTTAATAGAATATGGTCATTCGGTAAAATAGAAAACTTCATAAAAATAAAAAGTAGAAATGTACTTGTAACTATGCTAGAACATTACAACAAAATAAAAAACAACTTAAGCAGTTAAGTCACCTCACATAACTTATTAATTCTCTCCACTGTGCACTAATGAGGGGAAACCAACAAAGCCATACAGGAATGATGCCAATGAACTACACTGAGTATCGCTCTAGAAATATGACCTCTTTGCAGATTCATGCCAACTTCCAAGTAATTCTCTACCACTTTAGTGTCCTAAGATATTAGTAAACCTCAGCTTCAAACAAAGACACCAAAAATTTGCACTTCACCAAAGAGGACATTCAGAGGGCAAACATGAAGAAATAAATGTTCAAGATCCCTAGCTTTTAAAGAGATGTAAATAAAAACAACTATGAGATACCATCTCATAGGAACAATAGCAAAGTTCAAGAGAACAGCAAACAACAAAGGCTGGAGAGGTTGTGGAGAGATTGGAACTTTTATTCAATAATAGTGGGAATGTAAAATGATAAAACAGCTATGGAAGTCTGGCGCTTTCTCATAAAGTTGGAAATAGAAATACCATTTGATCCAGCAATTCCACTACTAGGAATATACCCTAAAGAAACCAGAGCTGCTACCCAAACAGGTATGTGCACACCATGTTTACTGCTGCATTATTCACAATAAGCAAAGAGACGGAAGCAACCCATGTGTTCATCAACAATTCAGTGGATAGAAAAACTATGGTATATTCACATATTGGAATACTATGCTGTACTGAAAAACAGCTGCATTGGAACAGATGAAGGAAAGAACTGTTTAAAAGGAGTATTTGATTAGGCATTATCTCTATGACAACAGTCCAGAATAAGAGGTGCTTAGCAAAGTGAACTGGGGCGAGGGGCAAGGACAGGGAGGGAGGAAATTATGTTAACAATGAATGATTTTTTTTTAAGTGAACTGGGTTGGGGTAGGGAAGAAAATGTTCAACCATGAAAATCCAACTTTTCTGTAAACACTCGTTAAAATCACAATTTTTAAAAAAGGAAGAAAAAACCCTAAACCAAAACAAAACCAAAAAAACCACCAAAAATTTTATTTCCTGGCCTTATTACCTTTCTTTCCTTAGCAACACACAGCCTTTTATAAACTAGGATATAAGAACTTTGTTTGTGTCCATGTAAAAAAGAGATCTCAAAACAATGAACAGTGTTCAGACAATATATATACACTACCAAAGGGCTAACAAGTGGAGTGGATGATGTTATAGACATAGAAAAATAGACACACAGACATAGAGAAATCTCTGAGGAAGTGATGGTATTATAATGGTAATTGATTTCAGGGTATTTGGGGGTTTGAATCACTTCAAGTATGCCATTAAGGTTACAGGTTTTCAGTACAGTGGTACAAATTATTAAACTGCTTCTCTGGTGTTATTGATATACACAAACTTAGACCTGGTACACTAATCTAAACCCACTGCCTCCAAGTCAACTCTGATTCATACCAATCCTAGTGAAAAGGAGTTTACTAATTAGTAGAAGTTGTTGTTACTAGGTGCTGTGGAGTCAGTTCTGATTCACACCAGCCACACAGAAAACAGAATGAAAACTTATTTGATGTTACACCATCCTCTGATGTATTTAAACTCAATACTACAGTCATTGTGTCAATCTCATCACAGTCATCTTCTTTTTTCAAATATGATATCCTTTCCCAGGAACTGGCTCTACCTGCTAATGTTCCCAAAGATGTAAGATGAAGTCTCCTAATCTCTGTGTCTAAGAAGGAGCACTACTCATTTTACTGCATTCTTAGGTAGTACCTCACAGCAACAAAGTGGTCCAAAGTGCTGTGGGAACAAAAGTGTATGGCAAATAGGACTTCTAATGGAGCTGTATAGGAAACTTTAGAGGAAAAGGAACATTTGAATAAGATCTTGAAAGGCAAATAGAACTCTGATAAGGTGTGGGGAATTCCAGGCACAGTTATGATTTATGTACACAGGCATGAGAACATGAATGGATATAAAAAAATTTAAATATCTTCTCTTGGTCATTCACCTTCCACTAGAGACTAAAGAAAAACTTTTCAAAAAATCTAATTTACTCTGTATCAATGCTAATGATGGTAGAAAGTAATTGGGAGAAACTGCATTCTGAGGAAAATGAGCTAAGGATCACTAATGTTCCTAAAGGAGTACATGTTTATTATACTGCCAAAATAAACTACACACTTTCTCTTTTAATTCTGTGTAGACTGTTGGTTTTCTACAATGCCATAAAAGATGTTACCTAAAGACTAATCTAGGAAGATCTGGTGGCTTTATGGTAAGGAGTTGTGCTGCCAACCCAAAGGCAAACAATCAGAATTCACTAACTGTTTTGCTTGAAAAAGATGAGCAATCTTCTCTAGTTTGATTTACAGCCCCTGAAAACCTGCTGGAAGGTCAGCTAAGAGTTGGCTCTAACTTGGCGGCACATAACAACATCAAAAATGAGAAATCTTTAGTATTATTATAAGATGGAAATCTGTTTCCTGTTTCTCTCTCACTCCTGTTGATAGCTGACCACCCTTGCTTTAAGCACCATTCAACTCAAACTAAAAACTAACTCATAGCCATCAAGTTGGAACTGATTCATAGTTGAGCCTCCAGCGGTTTTCAAAGGCTATACATTGCACAGGACGATAATGCCTGTCTTTCTCCCTAGTCACTAGTGAATTTGAATACCCTGTGGACTATATCAACATGGCTCCCTCACATAAAAATTAGGGCTCTGTTAAGCATTTAATTGTTTTCCAATGAGTCAATTCATAGGATTCATTCTCTGTACAACTCTGTTCAATGAACATTCAAAAAGTATTTAATAAATGAGCTCAATCAACAAGCTATTGTAAAAGCTTGTTCAATGAATGAATGAGTAAATAAAAGATTTGTCAGAAATAAAAAGTAAACATTTTAAGTCAAGAGATTTGTGTTTCTTACAAACTTCTCATTTTCTCTGCAAATTTCTCAGATTTCTTTGACTACACACTGAGTATCAACACCCACCCTCTGGGTTGGATGCTTATGAAGAGTCAGGTATATCAGTTATCCTCGGACTGCTTGTAAATTTTGTATTTTCAATAAAACTACAAATTTAATTTGACGTTAAATTTTTAAAAATGAAACATGAATGTGAAAACAAGGTTACTAATTCATAGTCATCAAGAGGGAACTGACTCATAGTTGAGCCTCCAGCTGTTTTCAAAGGCTACAAGTTGTTATGCAAATTGATTATCTCTGAAAGATTAAAACTCTAGTCACTAAACAACAGGAAACACCTATTTCTTTTTTTTATTTTTGTGTGCGTGTACCGTCAAATCAGGTCTGACTGGTACAGGAGGAGATTGTCCCTCCTTTCCCGGCAGAGCATCTGGTGGATTCGAACCGTGCGCCTCTGGAATTGTAGTTGCAGCTCCTTGCCACTAGGCCACCAGAGCTCCCCAAAACACCTATTTCTGAAGTAAGTGTAGACAAGGTAACTATAAAGGGCTGAGGAGAAAATGTAAACATCTAGATGAATTTGAGTTTCAAAATGCTTTTACAAGTATCATTAAGTTCTCCTTCCACTTAAAGGGAAATGCAAACAGATCTCAGACCACATACATTACAGATGTGTTTTGCATAAGAAAGTTACAGTTCCCATCAACAGCCCTATGCTTAAACAACTCCAAAATACTTTATCCTACCTCAAAAGATTAGCCAAATAAGCACTGGAAAAAATGAAAATAAATGTTAAATTAATAAATAGATAATTTGGGTGAAGGGAAAGGCAAACCACAATAAAGGCTGATTAGACACTGTAATTAATTACATTAATCAATGGTAATTAATGCTAAAAAAGAAGTACCAAGTAGAGAACTAAAAAAATTCACAGATAAATGTGTTTTAAAATATTTTTAAAAGTGTAACAATGAATGACTGGAAACCCCAAGTCTATGTAAACTTTCATTAAAATTAATAATAAAAAAATTTAAAAAATGCTAGAGCACATAAAATAAAGCATGAATCCTTTTGTTATGATTCTATGCTATAACTAACCTTTTCAATCACTGATCATTTTTTTTCCTGACAGCAGAAATAACATTTTTACCAACACCAGAACTAGACAAGTCTGTACACATGCTATAACTTTTATTTAATAAACAAGGATGAAGGCTTTGCCTCAAAAAACATTAAGTATTGAAGAGAAATTGGAAGTGATTAAAAAACCTTATTATTCAATTAATCTGAGAATAATGAATTCTCTTTATTTTTCTCTATATTCTCTATATTCAGTTCTATTTGTATTCAAGTTCTCTGCTCTTAATCAAGGAACCTAATTTTGTAGTAAAGATGAATAGATGTTTAGTTTTTTGCTCAGAAAACAATCTTTCCTGTATTATACATCTTTCAGTGTTTCTCAGACACTTGGCCTGAAGTATCAACATAAAGTGTGAAAATAAGTGCCTTTGCTTAGGGAGACCTAGACTATGTCTCAAAGTGCATAAAAAAAATCGCAGTCTTATGTATACATGAATACATGTAAATTGTATATAATATTTTGTATTGTTTCTGAACAATATTACAAAGGATTTTACTTTTCTCTAATCAAGTAAGCCCTTGATGGATCACATTTCTCTATGGCTTCCTAAACTCCCTGTATACCACTGTGTGCCTTTGTAAGAGAAGGCTGGGACAATCAGTTAACTATAACTCCAGTATGTTTGAGTGAGGAAAAAACCCCAAACAATATTCAATTTCAATTTCCTGGAATAATGTTTCAAGTGATTTGGCAATATCATGTATAACTCAACAAGGGCAGAAAGGAAATCTCATGAGTATCTACAGAAAACAGTCAAGAGACATAGGGACAAAAATGGAATCTTGCATTATTTAGCTATCCAGCCCTATTAAGTCATATTCAACATCTATCAAATTCTAAAATGGACTGATGGTTGTCATTATTCCTGATGGGTAGAGACTGGGTCTTTTTCACTTTTATCATTCTAATACTTACTACAGTGCCCAGTACACAGTAAACACCCAATGAATTAGAATGATAACAATACCAGATAATATTTACTCAGTTCTTAGTATAGACCACCCACCTGACGTACAATGTTTAATCCTCATAACAAGCCTATGTGAAATCTTTTAGTATCTCATTTCAAAGATGAAGAAGCAGAAGTCCAGTGATTTTAATAACTTGTTCAAAGTCACATGGCCAAAAAAGTAGAAAAGTTAGAATGAAAATTCAGCCAATCAGGGTGTGAAGTCTGAGCTTTCCACCATTATGCTAAAATAAACACCTGTTCAATCAATGAATAAGCAAAGAAAAGATTTATCAGAAATGAAACCATTTAGAGTCAGAAGGCTTTTGTTCCTTACAATGCAGTTTGTTGCTTCGGCTGTTGAGTGGTTCTGGTCCATTAACATCTTTGCTCTTTTCGTTATCTTCAATGGGTCGGAAATGAGCTAAAGTTCTCATGAATCCACGAAAGTTTACTTGGTCCTCTCTAATTAGGAAATATAACAAAGAGAATATTTTATCAATGAAGTTATCATTTTTAGGAATTCAGTATCTTGGAAGTAGCTTTAGCTATTTCAGGTGTCTTGACAGCAAATGGAACTCATAGGATTTAATTTATATCTCACCTCAATCTTGTTGGGTAAGTATTACTATTACCACATTACGGATGATTAAACAGACCGAGAGAGATAGCAGGACTTAACAGAAAAATCTATTGAATTTATTTGTATCTCTTTCTCCTTTCAAAAAAAAAAGATCTGGGAAGGTAGCTCTGGTGGCCTACTGGCAAGAAGTTGCACTGCAAAACCGAATGTGCAGGGTTTGAATCCACCAGAAGCCCTGCTGGAGAAGGAGAGGCGATCTCCTCCTGTGCCAGTAAGATCTGATTTGATGGTACAGAAAAGAGGAGAGAGGAGGGGGAAAAAAAGATCTGGGGTGTCTCTAGGGCTATACAATTAAAAAGAACCAGGACCCAAATTCACTGTTTCTGACTCTACAATAAGCATCCGGTCCTTCCAACCTGCTGACTTCTCAGCCAATCCATGTTATTTCTCATGTAGTGACAGACATACTAACATGGATTGGCTGAGAAGTCAGCAGGTTGGAAGATACTTTGGGCATGTTGCAAGAAGGGACTGGTCCTTGGAGAGGGACATCATGTTTGGATGAGTAGAGGGACGGCACAGGACAGGAAGACCCTCAATGAGATGGATGGATTCTGTGAATGGAGTGGTGGGAATGAATGTGTTTGAGACAGCGAGGTTGGCACAGGATAGAACGGTGTTTAGGGCTCTTGTACATAGGGTCGCTATGAGTCTCAAACGACTCGATGGCACATAACAATGAGAACAACATATTAAAGTTATAAAAAAAAGAAACACGTTTTAGTCTTCCCAGTCAATTATAACCATTGTTAAGAACTTTAATGAGTGGAGAATCTGCTCTTCTATATAAAAACATACTGTGACATAACTACCTATTTATGTAAGGCAGTCAACAAACAAATGGTTGAGGGGTTGTGGTGGTTACTTTACTTGAAAAGAAATTGTCTTTGTATGGCCTACTGAATATAGTGCCAGGTAGACTACATGGTTAAGTATCAAATAAAGATAATGCTTTCTAAAGGTAGAAATCAAAGGCTAGCTCACAAGTCTGCTATTTGCAAAATAATGACCTTAATACTTTAAGGTAGTTATGTTACTGTTGTTGTTGTTTACCATAGAGTTGGAACCCTCTGGTGGGTTTTCAGAGGCAGTTAATGGCATAGGAGGTGACTGCCCATCCTTCTCCTGCGGAGCAGCTGGTGGCCTCCAACCATGTGCCTTTGGGATTGCAGTGCAGCTCCTGGCCACTAGGCCACCAGAGGTCCCTAGTTTTGTTACTAATGGTGTAGTATTTGGTCAAAAGTATAGTAAAATCAAGGAAGTAAGCATATACTATGGAGTAAGGTTTAAGTCATGTTCCAGAATAAACAGACTAATCATGTTAATGGTATATGGTTTCTAAGTAAAAAAAGTAAATGAATATACCCTTTTTAAAAAAAAATAAAATTCCACTTGCAAATGCCTAAAAGAGAACAAAATCCCAAAAGCTAAATACCTCAATTTGATTAGAACAAGAAGACTGCAGCTCTGCTAAAAGGCTAGGAGAGTAGCCTCAGGGATCCTCATGTAAGCCTGCCTAGTTTCCTTAGCAGATTAGTGGACTAACGGCAGATGATACTGTTGTTAGAGCAAAAGCAGGTTAGACTTACAGTTTTTCATAAGCTGCTGCAAGTAATAACGTTAACTAAGGAATCTTTAAACAAACACACACACACTCTCTCTCTCTCTCTCTCTCTTAATTTACAGGGTTTTCAAAATGCCTGGATACAAGCATAGTTGTTAAAAGTTATTTTCTGGTAAAACAATGAAAGAATTTTTCTTACTTTTCCAAGAGGGTAGTGTACTGGGGCGGGGGGCGGGTTGGGAGGGAAGAAAAGTGCAAAAATCAATCAATGGAAATCCAAAGTCTCTGAAAATTTTCATTGAAATTAATAAAAAAAGTTATTTTCTGGCCTTTTTTCATTTAGCTCTGCAGGAAAGAGAAGTAAAACAGAATTCAATATAATACCATGTCTGAAACAAACAATACAGTTCAGGGAAAGAGAAAGGGGAGAAGTAAGGGAGCAGATGTTGATAACTTATACATGACTTTTAAAAGAGCAAGAGTAGTATCATTCAAATTCTGTATTAACAATGAACTGAAACCAGGCTTCTCTTTACTTCTGTTACTCAAATTTTGTGTTCAATTCTTGCAAATTCCTCCGCTTTCAACAGTTTTATAGTTCCCTCTTCAGACCTTTTACATAATAGCATCCTCACTGCCACTTAGTCTTATTACTAAAAACTGGCACCTGCCCAAGTTGGCAGACCTACTGGGCTCCATCCTGAGCTCCATGGAGAAGCCGCCCAGCCTTTGGTGATCAGGAGGGAGACTCGGCACAAGGCCCAAGAGCAGGCTGCCCATCTGAAGAAACTACAGGAGCAAAAGAAACAACAGAAAGTGGAGTTTTGTAAAAGGATGGAGATAGAGGTGTCAGACTTCATACAAGACAGTAGGCAGATCAAGAAAAAGTTTTAGCCAATGAATAAAATAGAAGCATACATGTGGTAGAAGTGGCTGGGAAAGATAATGACTGTTATGTCATAAGCTTCAAAAAGGAGTTTACACTTTCAGATGAACAACTGGAGTCTTCCCGCCATGGAGAAGAGTGGGAGCCCCAGAAGGCTGAAGAGAAATGGAAACTGAAGGAGCTGGCCCAGAGGCAGGAGGAGGAGGCAGTCAGCAGAGACCTGTGGTGGTGAGCCCTGCCAGCGACTACAAGGACAAGTAAAGCCACCTGATCAGCAAGGGTGCAGCCAAGGATGCAGCCCACATGCTACTGGCCAGTAAGATCTATGGCTGTGTGCCTGTGGCCAACAAGAGGGATACATGCTCCACTGAAGAGGCTATAAATGAGATCCGAGCCAAGAAGCATCTACGACAGAAACAGATCGGGGAAGAGCTGCCACCTACCTCCTCGGCACCCCAGCTCCCTTTGTCCTCTGGGGCAGGGCAGGAAGGGACAAGGCTGCTGCTATTAGACCTCACTCCGAAGCCCAAGGTCTGAGTCACCTCCTACTAGAGTTCGCTCAGGCTGGAGGGGAGCAAGGGTTTGGATGGCTCTGTTGGAGCTTGGAGATGTGTGTGTACACACACGTGTATGTAAGAGCCGGAGTGCCAGGTTTATTTAATCTGTATTATTCTCCTTGGAATTTTCTTCCCCATGTGGTTACTTCACATTCAATAAACAAAACCTGGCACCCATATCACTTTTTGTGCTAAAGTCCTTGAGGCAATAAAGATAATTCACATGGAACCAGGAAGTGATTATTTGGGGAGAAGTTAAAACAAGATTATATGATAAATTACTCATGAAAAATGTACTTAATCAAGTCAATAAACATTTATTCAGTAAATTTACTTTCATACAAAGGAAGCTATGTTGAGGTAGGTGGTAGAGTCCAGTTAGACAAAGCCGAATTAAAGAACAATCAACCTATTTTTAAAAGTTTGTATGTGGTAGAAAGACATGTATTCTGTAAAAAGGCTGTGGAAAGTATTATAGATTAAGTGAGGCAAGAGATATGACAATTAAATGTAATACTTGACCCTAGATTGGATTCTGTATTGAAGAGGGGGGAAATGTTATAAAGGACATTACTGGATGAACTGATAACTATAATATAAAATAGAAATGAGATTTAAAAAATGGATTAATAAAGTTCAGGTAGCCTAGTGGTAAGGCATTAAGGATAAAGATGGGCAATCTCCCATGTAACTTGAAAACCCGCTGAAGGGTCAGCTATGGATTGCTTCTGACTCAACAGTACACAAACAGCAACAACAACATGAATAAAGAAAAGTAAAATACCTCATTAGTAATTTAAAAGTATTGATTATATGTTGAATGTTGAAATGAAAATGCTTTGGGAATACTGGCCTAGATAGAATATATATTGCCAAAATATATTTGCCCTAAATTTACTCTTTTAATGTGATTATAAGAAAATTTATAATTACATATGCCACTTGCCTTATTATTATTACTGGGTAGCCAGAGAAAGGGAGAAATTAAGTTTGTGCATTATAGCACAAATGATAAAGCAAATAAGCTAAAATGTTAAATATAACATAATATACCATTAAATGCATTTGGGTAAAGATTAGCTATTTCTATTTCTGTAAACTTGAAATTATTTCCAACTAAAAGCTTTTAAAAAGTTTAGTTTTATATCAAAGGCAAACACAGATGGACTGATATATTTATTTGATACGTTTAAAACAGAGAAGAGGGTAAACAAAGAGATAGTTTATAAATGACAAAGTCAAGGATGTCCAAAGTAAGTGGGATAAGGCTCTGAGATGGTTTAACTAATATCATCATTCCAGATTAGTAATTCATTCAGAGGAACAGCTCCAGGAAGGAAGCGCAATAATTGCAGACACTCACCCCTCTGGAAAGAAGGCATTGATGATTCGGTCCCCCAGTGGGTTGATGGCAAGTTCTGGAATTCTCTGGAAATCTTCCCGGCTACCAAATCAAGGAGATAATCAGTGTGAGTCAGTGACCATTGGTCCTCAGCACAAGCTCCTTTAGTTTGACTTCTGTGGCAAATTATATAAAGTAACTGCAAAGAGTTGTACTTTAATAGCTACCAAGTGTTTACTTTACCAGCTCTGGAGTGGAGTAAACCAGACTTGACTATGTTACATTTCAGAGACTTCAGGACATCAGTTACATCAATAAACTAATGAGCCATCCCCATAAATGATTCTTTGAATGTTGCCATTCTGTACTTCTTTACTAAAGTGAAAAGACTTTCGAGATTGTTAACAGTTTCAATTTGCTTGGCTCCACAATCAACACTCTTTATACCAGTAGCCAGGAAATCAATTGCACTGGGGAAGTCTGCTGTCAGGGACTTCTCCAGAATACTGAAGAGCAACAATTTCAGTCTAGAGTATGCCTGATCCAGGCCATGGTCTTTGAATTACTTGCTATGCATCAGAAAGCTGGACAATGACTATAAATAATAGAAGGAAAACTGATGCCTTTGAGCTCTGGTGCTGGAGAAGCGAATTAAATATATACCATGGACCACTAACAGAACAAACAGGTTCATCTTGGAGAGGGTGAAACTAAGTTTTTCCTTAGAGGCAAAGATTCTGAAGTTCTGTCTGACATACTTTGGACATGTTGCAAGGAGGGACCAGTCCTTGGAGAGGGACATCATGGTTGGAAGGGTAGAGGGACAGTATAGAAGAGGAAGACCCTGGATGAGATGGACAGATTGAGTGACTGGGGTAATGGTAGTAGGTGTGTCAGAGACAATCAGGTTGGCACACAATACATCAAGGTTCAGAGCTGCTGTACATAGAGTTGCTATGAGTTGCAAGTGACTCAATGGCATACAACAACAATAATTAAGAAATGGAAAACATCCTCTACCACATTGCTTGAATATGGGGGCAAAAATTCAGAGGCATTCTTATATCCTTGGTACATAGATCTACAGTGCTTTTGAAATGTAAGGAATTCTTATATTCAATATAAGGAATATTTTTTCTTAAGCAGAAACTAAAACATGGCAACCAATTGATTTCCAGACTTTTGGGGGTCATTTTCTTGAACTTAAGGGAAAGTTTACACAGAAAAGAATTTTTCAAGCTATGATAAAGTGTTCCATGACATTAGCTGCAAAACCCATAATGTATCAGCACTCTGCCCACTTTCTGGGTTCTCTGTTTCAATGCATCTGGTTTCCCTGACCCTCTCTGTCTTCTCTTCTTTGGTTGGGGGGCAAATGTTGTCTCTTTTGCTTTGCATGTTTGATAATCCTAAGGAGTAAATTCTTTATGGGTGTTGCCTATTTTACAGGCCTGTTTTATAGGAAGCTCTGATAGTAGAGCTCTTAGTGATTTGCACTGCTAACCAAAAGTTGTGCTTCTAAGGCAGCCTGAATCCACAAGCATATCTTTGGGAGGAAGATTTACAGCCTTTAAAACCCAATGAGTGAGTCCAGGGCAATAATCTGGAAGGAGACTGCCCTTCTTTCTCCTATGGAGCAGCCGATGGATTCTACTAACCAAGTGCCTTCAAGCTGGATGCACAGCTCCTTAGCACTAAGCCACCAGAGCTCCTTCCCAATAGGCTAGAACTATAGTATTATTTAACCCTTAAACATGGTAGCTGCAGTGATTCTCTCCTAACTTAGATATTACTGATATTATTAATAGCTATTCATTTCAGTATCTGTAGGCCTGGTGTCTCACAAAGATCTCCATATCTTACTGTCAACCTTCCCCTGGTCTAGGCAGTTCTCAGGGCAGGAACTTTTGATGCAAAGGACATATTCTATTCACAGCCCTTCATTCTTTGTGGTATTGAGGTTCTTTCTGCTCAACTCTCCCTCCTTTTATCTCTTGTAAGATAAAAGGCGATACAGGTCTACTCTAGGGAAACTCTTCTTACATCAATCTGGGCTGTGACTGGAGTAAAGGTACTGCATCTCACCCTAATCCTGCCTCACTGACATAAAACTAAGGAGCTCTGGTGGCTTAGTTCACAGGGAGCTACACTGCTAACCCAAGGGTCTCTCTGGTGGTTCAAAAACACCAGCAGCTACGAGGGAGAAAGATGGACAATCTCTCCTGAGTGATTTACAGCCTCTGAAATTCATTGAAGAGTCAGCTATTAGTTGGTTCGACTCATCAGCAATAAGTTTTTGAATAATCATGACATAATTAATGGAAGCCAGGATTCATATGCCATCAAAGTAGGGAACAGTCAGAACTGATTACATCATGAGGATGAATCATTATCTGACCACTAAATATCATCATTATATAATTGCCGAATCACTGACACATAGATTTTTGGGACCCAATTCAAACCATGACATACATGAGCTGCTCTAAGTATATGGAAATAATTTCTCACTTGTTCATACTATCATATTATCAACATTCTTTTATACCTGGAAAAAAAGGAAATCTGTCAAAGTAACTTGTCCAGCCAGTGGCACCCAAGTAGAAGGTGGGGAAATACAATTTATACATAGTTCTTTAAGTCTAAAACATTGTTTCCCCCTAACAAACCACATTTCTTTCCCCAATGGAACTTTTTTAAACACGTTAAAAAAAAAAGGTAACATGCTTCCCTAAAAGAGGTTCAATAATTTTTAAAAACATTTCAGAAAAAGAAATGCATATTAAAGTGGACTGTGGACTCGGGGGGAGACTGTATAACAATGAAAGAATTTTTTTTTCTTCAAAGAGAAAAATGAACTAGGGGGAGGGGTGAGCAGGGAGGAAAATGTGCAACAATGAATGAATGGGGAAAAAATTAAATGGAAAGCATATGTTGTAAAAAATATATATGTTGCATTAAAAAATCATTAATAAAAAATTTTCATTAAAAAAAATTTCTTTGGTTTACATTCCATTCCAGGGATATAGTTTATATCTTATCTGGGATTCTGGGGGAAAAAAGTATCAACATTCTGAAAGATGAAGAAAGGCAGAGAAATCAGAACCCAAAAGACATGTAACTAAACTCAATGAATGATCTTGTATTAGAAAAAAATATACATGTGCTATAAAGAATGTTAGTGGGCCAGTAGGTGAAACTGGAATATGGACAGTATATTACATAATACAGTACTGCAAAATGTTAAATAGATGAAAGTTAATTGCACAATCCTTGTAATCTTTGTTATTTCTAGATAAAAAGTTTAGCAAAAAGAAATACAAACTTGAATAAATGGTTGCTGACTTCAAGTTTACTTATAGAACAAACACATTTCCCTCACAGCCTTCCCACTAAATACTATGAAGACAACGATCATGAGATGTTTCTGTTTTATCCAGGAGTCTATTACACACTGTTCTCTTGGAGTTTAACATTTACAGGGTGCTTAATTAATTCAGCAGGCTCATCTCTACTACACTCAGGTAGAAGCTGATATAGAAGACCAAGCACAAAACTAGGAAAAGTTAACTCTGGTTTCCAATCTTCCTTGACCAGGCACAGAATAATTTTTATATCAATAAATGAAGGAGAAGTCCTTCATAAGATAGCTGGATGAAAAATGCAGGGGAAATCAATACTGATTATTTAATTCAACAAATATGTACTAATCTCGTATTACATAATTTGTTCTATAATGCAAAGTCCACATTGTCAAAATGTAGCTCCTCTTGTTTGATGGAAGTTAAGAAATAATAACTATTGCCCCTTTTAAATGAGGACTAAAGCTGATTTGAATTGCATGGTCACATAACTCAGTTTAATGTCTAACAAGCTTAAGTACTTCTAAGCAAAGAAAAGCCTCAATTAAAATGCCAGGTCTAGTATTAAGTGGTGAGTGCACTTTAACTCCTTCAATCTCAAGAAGGGATTTGGCCTTGAACTGTCAATGTCAATAAAGACCTAAATCCTATTTTCTAATAGGATCTAATTCTAAGAATTTAGATTGTCATCAGATAAATGGGAATACTGTTCAAAGTATTAATATTAAAATGAGAGTATAAGAAATAATACTTTGTAAACCCTTAAATAATGTACACACAAGTGCATTATAGTTAGTGGTTCTAGAGTAGAATGGGGATCCTTGGAGCAGTTTTCCCAAAATTTAGCTTCTCAAACTTGTCTACCAACACTTACCTAATAAACTCACTGCTGTTAGTTCCAACTCACTACTGTTTTTTGTTAGGTGTCATTGAATCACTTAAAACACAGCAATCCTATGAACAATAGATCTGAACGTTGGCCTATCCTGTGCCATCCTCACCATTTCTCATGTGCTCAAGTCCATTGTCACAATCTCTATGTCTATCTTTATTTGGAGATCCTCCTCTCTTTCTCTGACCCTCCACCTTTCCCAGCATGATGTACTTTTCCAAGGACTGGCACCTCCTGACAACACGCTCAAAGTATGTGAGACCAAGTTTCATCATCCTTGTCTCGAAGGAGAGCCCTAAATGCACTTCCTCCAAGACAGACTAGTAGTTTGTTGTTTTGGCAGTCCATGTACTCTTCTCCAACACCACAACTTAAGGTTATCATTTTTTTCTTCTGTCATTCTAATTCACTGTCCAACTTCCAGATGCATAGCACTAACTGAAAAGACTATTGCTTGAATCAGGTGCACCTTAGTGTTTAGACTTAGATTGTTGTGTTTTAGCACCTAAGAAGTCATTAACAAAGAGCAGATTTTCTCCATGTAACATGTCTTCTGGTTTCATGCCTGCAGTTACCCTGGGTGTTAATTGTGGATTCAATATGAAATTGCTGACAATGTCATTCTTTTTCCATCTATCACAGTATTGTCTATTGTTCTCGTAGTGAGGAGTTTTGTTTTCTTGATGTTGGGATGTAATTCATATTGAAGCATATAGTTTTTGGTCTTTTGTAGCAAGTGCTTAAAATCCTCTTTACTTCCAGCAAGGTAGGCTGTATTATCCAACTCATAGCAATCCTTCCCCACCGCCCCCGAAATTAGTATGGAGAACAGTCCTTAACTGTATCTA